GTTGCAAACCTGAGAAAATCAGATCTTTTTTTTTCACCTCTAAGATTAGCACAAATTAAAAAGACTTATAGCTGGGCATGGTGGTGCTTGCCTCAAATCCCAGAAACTCCAGAGGCTGAGGTAGGAGAATCACAAGTCAAAGCCAGACTAAGCAGCTTAGTGAGGCTCTGTCTCTAAATAAAAAAATTATTTTAAAAAGGCTGGACTGGGGATGTGGCTCAGTGGTAAAAACACCCCTGGATTTAATCCTGGATACAAAAAAAAAAGACTGATAATAACAAGTCTTGACAATGATATAAGTAAACGGAAACTCAAAAACACTGAGAATGAAACATAAATTGGAATGATCTTACTGAAAACTGCACATATTAAATTCTAAAATATGTATATTTTTGGCCCATGTTAAATTTCTTCTAGGAATTTACCAAATGAATGTATATATGAATATATGAAAGTATAACATTCATACATTTATTTGGTAAATATATATATTTAAAACATTTAAATATATATGTATGTGTGTATGTGTATGCGTGTGTGTTTGTTTTGGTACCAGGGATTGAACCCAGGGTGCTTAATCACAGATCCACATCCCCAGCTCTTGATTTTTAAGTTTTTATTTTGATTCAGGGTCTTGCTAAGTTGCTTAGGGTTTCACTAAATTGCTGAGGCTGGCTTTCAACTTGCAATCCTACTGTCTCAGCCTCAAAAATCCCTGGGATTACAGTATGCACCACCATGCCTGGCTCAAATGACTGTATGTAGGAAGATTTACTCTCTTTCAGTGTGGTGCCAGGGATCACGTGTAAACCCAAGGAAGTGCTCTACCACTGAGCTACATCTGCAGCACTGCTCTCTATTTTTTTTTCTGCTGTAAATATAAAAAAAAAAAAAAGTAAATGTCCAATGAAGAGAAGTAAAATTCAATCATCATATAGTCTTACAATGTATAGAATATCCTATTAAAAAGAACAGATGTCATATATGTGCTTAGAGTAAAATAAAGATCTTTAAGACAAATGAAAGCTATTTGCAGAACTATATTCTAGTGTGATCTGCTTTACATTTTATTTGTATATGTATTGAAATATATAAAAAGCTTTGAAAAGATATTCACCAAACTATCCAGGAGTTATCTCTGGAGGAGAATAAAGGTGAGATTGGGGAAAGTGGAAGGGAAGTTTTCACATTTTGCTCTTTATATTTCTGTGTTACTGAAATTCTGTACAACTAGAATTAAAAATATATACACTTGCATGACCCTCTCCTCACCACACCCAAGGAAGGAAAAAAAAGGCGTCCTCTTCTAAAGATCATTTCAGAATCCCTGGCCACTGCCTCAAGTTTCTCAGGCTTCTAAGAATGGCAGCCACCTTGTGAGAGCCTTGATTGCTCCAAATCTTTGCTTTAATCAATGTAATTAGCAGAGCCTCAATTAAGCTCGAAGGCAGTGGTTTCTGTCCTGGGCTGCCCTGCCCATCTCCTTCAGTGAGTGACTAAGCAGCCCTTCCAAATGTGTGTCTCTTTCTCTCTCTCCATCTTCTCCATATTTCCTGTCATGACTCAAGACAGTTGTGAGCCAGTGGGAGACTCTGAAATCTTCTGATTTGTTAGGTATTGTTCCTGCTTGCTACTCTGTGTCGCTTTGCATCTTTAAGTTGTTCATTAGTGAATCTGACATCTAAAATTTCCTTCTGTCCCTCCAAGCCTGCATCATCTCCTGTTTTCCAGTTCATTGAAGTTCTACCTTAGTCACCAAAACCAGAAAACTGTGAGTCACCATTGCCCCACCCTTTATACCTGGTCAACCACTAAACCTGTGGAGCTGAGTCCAAAACTTGTCTCTACTCTGTCCCTTTCCTCTATCTCTACTGCCAGTGCATTATTACCTCTTACCTAGATAATTTTCATTCTCATCTTTTACCATTCCATTTTCCCTCCAGTTGAAGAGAAAGCCTGTTAGCAGGAAAATTTAACCATGTTATTCACAACTTAAAACATTGCTGCATCTGTGGCTCACTGGATGGAATCTGTAGGGAAGGAAAAGGGGATCCCCTTTATTGTTCATTGCAGATACTCCTACAACAAAAGAAAGGTTAACACAAGAAAAGCATTAACATTTTCTATTACAGTTTTACATGACACAGGAGCCTTCAGATTGAAGACCAAAAGACCCAGGGTGAACTTCCCATTTTTATGCTTAGCCTCTATGAAGAATGGACAGCTATGTAGAAATATGAAAAAGGATATGAGCTAATGAAAACTGACTGAATGGGGAAACCCAGAAAGGACTCTCTTCTCAGCTTCTTCTTGGGCCCTCAAAGATAGAATTTCTTCCTCCCAGGTATAGGATGGGATCTCTGGGGTGAGGGCCTTAGTTTCTTTATGGACATATTCTATATGGAAAATAGAAAGTTAGAGCAATAGTTTTTGGTTTTATGGCTGGCTTTGGGAAGGTTTTCTGGTTTATATGACCTGCCTTGGAGAAGAGGAATTCTAATTTCTGTGGCTTTCCTGGGGGAAGAGTGAAAGCAGGAGATAGGAGCACAGGACAAGGTCAGAAAGAAACAAGAAATACTGCTTCTGAGGCCTTTGCTTTGGGGCATCAATTTCTCAGCCTCAACAAGTCCAAACCCCTTGATGAGGTGTACATAGCCTAATGCCACTGCCCAGGCCACCACCCCTGCAGACATCCTGGGAATGTCCCCTTTCAAATAGCTGTTCACAGAGCTCTGCCAGTGCCTATGCCTCTTTCTCTTGTTGGGGATCTTCAGGACACATGATGATTTTTTTCTTTAGCATCCACTCCCATTTCTTATGGTACCCACACCCCACGAACCATGTGCCTTTCAATCCTTGTGTGGTTTAGATAGGTGACTCCAGGTCCCCTCTCCCCAACTTCTGGCCTAGCCAGATCATTTAGCCTCTCTGTTCCTGGAATTTTAGTTTTGAATATTATAAGCCTTGAAGAGAAAGCTCCTGTCTGGCTCAGCTCAGCTCCCTGAGACTACTTCTTAAACCTTCCTCTGATTCTGTGAATTTACTTATAAACAATTTACATATCCCCCCTTTTTTAAACTTAAGCAAGTTGGGTCATTTTGGTTGCTTATAGTTAAAGAATTCCCAATGAACCCTGCCTTTCTACATTTTTTTTTCTTTTGATGCTGGGTATTGATTCCAGACCTTCAAAATGCTAAGTTTGTACCCTGCCACTGAGCTGCCAGACAAACTCCTGCTTGTCCTTGAGGACCCAAGTTTTGTCCATTTACTCATTAATTCATCCAACAAATATTTATTTAAAAATTCTATAAGCTGGGCTTGTGCTAGGAGATAAAAATACAATAATAAAAGAAACACGTAGGGTTCTTGGACATATAAACCCCCAAATATGCTGAATAAACAACTTTTAAGGGACGTCAGGTATGAAGAATAGAGTTAATTATATTTATCTGTTCTTGGAATTTTTCAGCATTGTTCTGAGTAATAGATTAATTACTTTATATCTACATCTTCCTTCACCCTTGCCAACCATATTAATGTGGTTGATATGTGAATATATTCTTGTGAAATGCATATTGAAGTTTTGTAGGCATGCACCTTTAATTAACACAAATAATTTTACATTATATATTTATTTTGTTTTCCATTTTTCTTCACTAAGTGTGGTAGCATGCCTGAAGTTTTTGAGATAAGGATAAGGGCCTTGAAAGCAGATAAAAGGATTGTGGTTTTTAGTTTGGGTGAAATGGAAAGTGATTTGAGGGCTTTGAGCAGAGGAGTGATATGATTTGAATGGGTGTTTTTCAAGTGTAAATCTGGCTGCTGTGCTGAGATTAGGATTCAGGGGTGCAAGGCATGGAAGCTGGGAGACCATTAGGAGGCTATTGCAGAATTCAATAGAGCAGACAGTGGTTTAAATCAGGTGCTTTAATATCCTATACAAGAAATCCTGCATACAGTGAGAACAAATACCAACAGAAAAATTGACAAAAAGTACATCAGGAAATCCCAAAACAAGGAATATGAGGTGAAAATCACTAATAATCGAGAAATGCAGATTGAAACCAGAATAGGAGGACTAGGGCTGTAGCTCATTGGCAGAGCGCTTGCCTAGCATGTGTGAGGTACTGGGTTCGATCCTCAGCACCACATAAAAAAAAAATAAATAAAGACATTCTGCCCATCTATAACTACAAAAATAAATAAATAAATAAAACATAATAGGATATTGCATCTGTCATTCTGGGGAAAATGGAAAGCTAAAATCTGAGATAAGAGGACTTAAAATACTTATACACTGTTAAAGGAATATAGAATCCAGAAGCAATCTGACTCTGTTGAATCAAGTTAAGCATGACCCAGCAACTCGATAATTCAGCTCCTAATTATATATAGAGAGGGGGCTTGTGTCACCCATCTGGAATAAGTATATTCCAGAGAAATTCTCACGTAGGATCATAAGGGAATGTGAAGATGTTTATTGCATCACTGTTTGCTGCAATGGGGCACTGAGGGCAGCCGACGTCACCATCACTGGGAGAATAGATGGGTAAAATGCACACCGGACTTTGAGATATGCAGTTTTCATGCATTATTTCATTATTTCTTAAAAACATCCCTAAGACAGTGGAATTTTTAGTATACCCATTTTACAGGCTATAAAACGGAAACTATCTTCCTCTAAATACAAACCGTTGCTTATTTTCTTGTACATTTCTTCTTAAATTTAGACAGTACTGGGTTTGAGGGGCTCAGCAGTGACTCGGTTCACTCAGCCATTATGAGCCTCCTTTTGATTCTTCCGTCTGGCTGTTCTTCACTCCGCTAGCCACAGGTGGCCTCGGAGCTGGGCAGTCAGCACCGCGGACAGCGACAGCCTCAGGGCAGGGATTGGGCGGGGCGTCAGTGGAGACGTCACGACGCGAGAAGTCTCAGGGGCGCGCACTCGCGGGCGGCTGCGTCACGTGACCCAGGTAATTGGCACTGCGTTCCCTGCACCCCATTGCACAGCCCCATGACCTGCAGCCTCCGGACCGCGCTGCAGCGCCGACCCCCGCCCACCCGGTGAGCGCGGTTGCGCGTCCCCTTCCTGGTCCCTGCGCCATCTCTTGGGCTGTGTTGGGGGACAGGCGCCTCAGCTCCAGTCTCCCTGGTCCTGGGGAGTCGCTGCCGGCTGTCCTGAGCCGGGCCCTGTCGGGTGCGCGGGGGTGGGGGTGGGGGGGGGGGGGGTGTCGAGTGGAGGCGGAAGTAAGGGAGAAATAGAACGTGACCTTGCCTCCGCCCTTGGCTTACCGTGGCCTTCTGGAGGACCCCCAACCTTTTTCGCGCGTTAGATCTGGCGAGTACAGAATTTCGTGTAAAGGAGCGACGCGCCAATAGTAGGGTTTCAGGCATCAGCGCTGGGCTCCTGGGTCCAAGGGCTACAGACTACTTTCTTTACCTTTCATGACCTGAGGAGAGGCTTGCTGCTCATTGCCCTCCCACGCAGCCAGCGCCAAGGGTCACACCAAGGTTAGGGAGGGTCCAGTGTTGTGTGCCTATTTGGAAATTCAGGGAGTTTGAAGTCCCAGGGCCTCATGGGGTAGGATCCTTATAGACGGTTTTAACTGCGATCTCAGTTCCCAGACAAGAAAACTGAGGTTTCTAGAGGCTGAACTGACCTGAGGAAGTGGACGAAGCCAACATGGAAGTCTTTCCCATCCTCTGGGAGATGGAGGGGGTGGGGCGATAACCTTGAGGCCCCAGCAGGCAACCTAGGCTTTAACTGATCCCAGAGGGCCCTACTCTAACACCCCCTTCCATCCTTAAAGATGGTTTTAACTATGGTCTCAGTTCCCCAAAGAAGCCCAAGCCCTACTGTGCAGCCCCTCCTCACCTTTTCCCACTTCTGGGCTTTATTTTAGGCCCTTACTCTCTGGCAAAGAAACACCCCCTCCCCCCCCCCCCCCCCCATACACACCTGCTTTCTCTTGGGTCCAGCAAGCTAGAGTTGAGGTTTATTCCTGAGCAAAGCCCATCCAATTCTCAGAGCATAAAGAGGGAACAAAAGAATGCTTCCTAGCTTTGAGGTCTTGGGAAGAACCCCTCTTCTGACTTCTGTTAGCTGATTTTTACAAGGGGTACATTAGGAAGCAACTCTCAGCTAGGCACCTGGACAGGATCTTGTATGTGGGAGCCTTAGTGGTAGGGGTGTCTGCAGTTGTGTTTCTGAGATTGGGTTGGTGACACTGTCCGGGAGGTGGGGGGGACAACCCCAGGAGTTGCCCCACACAACTCTTCTAGTTGGCAGGGACCGCACAAGGTGTCTGACTCTCAACTGCTTGCCACTGCCTTATACAGTGTGAGTAGGGCCTGGCAAGGCTGGCTGGGGCTCTGGCTGTAGATATTGAATGTTCTAGGGCTCCTGGGTCTGCAAGCCTTCCTTGGGTAGGAGCTTAAGTGGTATGCTGGCTACCTGCCTGCCCAACTGGGTGAAGGCCACATCAGTGTCCATCAGCTGCCCCAGTGTTCAGTGTTCTTAAAACTCGGTGTTCCCATACTGGGCCAGGCTGGATACAGCCAGGCTTTGTTCCATTCTGGCCTGAGCTCTCCTATTCCCTATGGGGGTGGGGCTTGGGCTGTCAGCAGAAGCAGCTTCAGCCAGTGGAAAGTACATTGCCCATAAGAGAAATCTGGGGTGACATCTTGATTCTACATTAGGAAGACACAGGCCCTGTCACCAGCATAGCCTCTTCTTCCTCAGTTTTCCTGTTTATAAAGTGGGGCTGACAGGGGCCCACAGTGGTATGCTGAGAGGATCAAGTGAGTACTGTGACTGCTTCAGGACCAGTGCTTCCTAATAGTCTACTCTTTTTTTAAATTTTCAGAATGGATGGTCTTAGTGCCTAGTTTCCTTTGCTGTGTGTGGAACAGGGACAATAAAACTTCCTAGTTGTTTGGGATCTTGTGGTACTCCAGGCCAGGAGATCCTGGGCCTGGTGGCAGGCTGGGCTGGTGCAGCCCCACATTTGCTAGACAGAGCAGGGGTTGCGACCCCCAACTATCTGACCCTTGAGTCAGTGCCTTGGAGAGATGCTGCTCTAGGGAGAGCCAGCCCCAGGGGGCCCTCACTGTAGGGCCTGGCCATAGTGGCTGATGGTGGTGGGCACACAGCCCAAAACTTTGGGAGCTGAGCATGTGGGAGGGAAACTTGAGGAACTTGGGACTTAGAGCCCTACTAAATTCACTCAATATTTTTGAGTTTTTAATTTTTCTACTGTTTAGACTTGTTGCTGATTACCTGAGGAACCCGCCCTTCCTTGATTGAAGAGACCCTCCCCTCTGGCTCATGTGAGTTTGCTAGGAGGTGGGAGGACCATATCCTACCCTGCAGTGGAAGTTGAGCCCTTTTATAAAGTCCAGGCAGTGGGCTTCTAGTGGCTGGTGGAGTGAATAGAAGGGATGGGTGGAGGTGAGGGTGGAGGAAACCTGGTGGTAGAGCATGCCTTCAGGGACATTGGCTCAGGGTCCAGCATAGGCAGGACCTGGTAACCATTATGCCTCAGAATGTGTGTTTTCTGGGTTGCTGAGCCTTGGAAGGGGCAGTAAGTAGTCTTCTCCCTACCTTGGGGGCCCTGGTGGGGTAGTTCTGGTTCTGCACACCCCTCACGGGCCAGGGCTCCCTATACATTAGCAAGTCCTGTTCAGTTTCCAGGCAGTGGTTGGACTAGGGCAAAGGAGGAGCTGGGTTGGGATGAGTAGGGCCCAGCAGGGCTGGGCTTATGGATGTTCAGTGTCTCTTAATGAGGTTTACTGAGCTGGGCCTTCCTGCTAGACAATGAACCCAGGGGGTTGGAAGATTATCTCATTTACCTCTATCTTATAGCCTGGTCCAGCCCCCAACCCACTCCCTGCTGCCCCCATGGGACTGAGAGGTGCTGATGAGTGAGCACATGGTTTTCAAAGCCTTCCCCTATCTTGGTTCTATGGTTTACACCTCTCCTTCATCATCTATATCCAGAATGAGTCAGCTAAGGCTGCTGCCATCCCTGTTCGGGGCACAAGCCACGAGGTTCCTGGCTGCACGGGACATCTCAGTGTTCAACTGGCGTGGCAGGTCTTCTGGGTCACCAGCCACCTTCCCTGGAAGCAAAGGTGGAGGTGGCTCCAGTTACATGGAAGAGATGTACTTCGCCTGGTTGGAAAACCCACAGAGTGTTCACAAGGTTGGCACCGCACTTTGCCTGCCGAGTGGGAGGGAAGTCTCTGGGGCCTATTGTGTTGGGTGTAGTGGAGAGAAGCAGTCTGCTTGCTGTGTGATCTTGGATGAGTTTCTTTACTTCTCAGATCATCAACTGTCCCTGTTTGTTAAAGGGTCTGTCTTCATGTAGAAGAGGACAACTTCATGCCTTCCTGCTGATGAACTGGCTGGGGGAAGAGGTCTTGCTCTAGAGATCCTGATAATGCCTGTTCAGCCATACCTGAGGCATTCACTGCCCCACTAATATGCTATACTGTCTTCAGATACCCTGTCATGTGGAATTAGGCCAATAAATGTTTATAGGTACATGATCAAATAAAACAAATACCATTTGATGGTTAAAAAGAAGTCAATCAGATAGCAGGGTGAAAAGTGAACTTGCTTTCTCTCCCCTTCACTCACATTTTTCAAAGGAAAGTGAACAGTCACATGATCCAGAGCCAAGCAATATGAAAAGCCCCAGAAAAACACTCTTCCAGTCCATCACCAGCTGATCAGATCCTTTTCACCCCATTTCCTTAACTTTCTTTACATAAACTTACTGTAGACATAATTGGATTTTGTCCCCCTTTTACACAAAAGTTGTACATAAAAATGCTGTTTTGCTTCTTGCTTTTTTCATTTGGCAAAATCTGTCTCCACATCTTTCCATGTCAGTATGTGGATAGTCTTCTTGTGCTTTTTTCTAGCTGCATAGTATTATCTTGTGTGGGTATGCCCTCTCTGTCCCCAATAACAGATATCTGGTTCACTTCCAGCCTGGTTGTCATGAAGAGTGCTGTGGTACATACTCTTGTATGTTGTAGCTATCTGTAGAAAAGATTTCCCAAAGTGGAAAGGTTGGGTCCAAGATTATCTGTGTGTGTGATTTTTCGGTGAGTATTGTTAAATTGCTTTCCACAGAGGTTGTTCCAGTTGATTCTGCCACTGGCATTGTATGGAAGTGAGCAGAGGAAAACAATTTTACATGTTCTCCTGGAAAACTGATAGAAGTGCCTGTGTATAGGCGCATCTGATTTTGCTTCTACATCGAGTAGCAAGCCACATATCCTCTTCTGCTTTGTTTTCCGTAGAACATATCTTTTTGGTGATATTCCACATCCACAATAATGAATGCACTTTCATATTTTTTAACACTGCATAATCCTCCAGATTCTAAAATTGATTTGTTTAGCCATTTTCCTGTTGATAGTCATTTAGGTTGTTTTTGTAAATCACAGCCCTGCAGGGAACATCCTTGTGTATATATCTAGTGCACATACTTGTGCAACGCCTGTGGAGTAAATTGCTAACAGCAGAATTGCTGGCTCAAAAAAAGAGCCATGAATGTGTAGAGTGTCTGCTTGCCACACTGCCTTCTAGAAGGATCTCTTTAAACCAGTGGGTGAAGGCATGTCACAACTGCTATCACAACTGAAGCCCCTGAGCCACAACTTATAACCTCCTCTGCCCCCACCACATCAAACCAAGTCCTGAGAAGAAATGGGCTCTAGGTGAGGGGGCCTCAGCTAGCTGAGAAGGGTCTGTGAAGCATAGCCCTGAGAAGACCCTGAGAGCTGTGGTCCCCAAGGATGCTCCCTGGGACCCAAACTGGGTCACCCCTGAGTCTTCCCAGGCACTAAACTGGCTGTGTTCTTGCTTTCTTCCCTGCCCAGTCCTGGGACAGCTTCTTCCGGAAAGCCAGTGAGGAAGCCTCATCTGGCTCTGCTCAACCACAGCTTCCCTCTGTCATCCCTGAGAGCAGGCCCACAGTCTCTGGCCGGACCAGCAAACTGGTAGAGGACCACCTGGCTGTGCAGTCCCTCATCCGGGCCTACCAGGTACGGACAGCCAACAAGGAGGCTCCTGGGACTTGGCTGGGTGCTGAGGGAAAGAGTCTCACTTGGCTCCAGTGTCTTCTCAGAAAGCCCTTGAAGTTTGCTACCAAATACCATCTGCTCCTCTGTCTAGTCATTGTCACTTATCATTCAGAGCACTGGGTTATTTTTGTGCATACTGATTTGGTGGCTTGTCATCTGTCTTCTGGAATGTTGTCTGTCTTTCCCACACCAGGCCCTCAGTACCTAGAGGAATACTTAGTAAGTAATCAATTCCACTCATCTGAATGAGAGGTAAGTGCATTAACCATAGTTAATGTCTGTTTTCTCATCAGGACTGGGTCCAAGAGGACAGGGACTGATATTCAGCAGGTGCTTCATTAGCATTCGTGGAATGAATGAATAGTTCCGGTAAACAGTTCTTCCCCACCAGCTGCACATTCTGGAGACCTTGGCTTTCCTGTGTGGGGTCCCCAGTCTGGGCTCCTCTGTCAGAGAGTTCTGGTGATCTGTAATCTTGGTATTGACTGAACAGGGCTAATTAGATGCTGTTCTGGGCATTCATGCCATAACATGTGTAATCATTGGGGATTTCTGTGGGAACTGGTGGCAGGAGGCATTTTGTAAGGGAAACTTGACATGCAGAGGGTGATGCTAGGGGATCCTAGATGTCTGGGCAGAGACTCCGTGGGAGGGAGCAGCAAGCTGCTACAAGGGCTTGGGAGCAAAGATGCATTAGCAAATGGAAATGATTGCTCTGAATGAAAAGCCCTGTATGGGAGGGAAGTAATTTCCCTGTGCACCAGTTGTCCTGGATGGAAGAAGGAAGGTGAGCAGGTTGGGCCCCCTCACTGGCCTGAAGACTCATTGACTGTGGCCAACCAAGCAAACAGCAACTGCTTGTACTGGTTGAGCATCATTAATCCAAGGAATCTAAAATACTCCAAAATCTTAAACTGTTTGGGCATCAACATGACATCACAACTGGAAAATTCCACACCTGACCTCATCTGATGGGTCTGTCAAAACATAGACACTACAATGTTCTTCAAAATCATTTTTAGGTCCTGTATATTTGAAATATAAATTAATTTTATGTTTAGACATGTGTCCCATTCCCAAGATATCTCATTACATACATGGAAACATTCCAAAAAAAGAAAAAACAAAACAAAAACCCTGAAATCCCAAACACTTCTGATCCTAAGCATTTTGGATAAGGGATGCTCAATACACATTGTGTTTTTCTGGCTGGTTGAAAGAAGCAGAAAGTGATCTAACAATTGACTTTGACAATCAAGCACATGGAGTGCAAAACTGTATTAAATACAATAACCTCCAGAGTGCTGCTTGAGGGACTTATATTCTAGCCTAGGCATTTTTTCATCTGCTCTTAGCCCCTGGATTCAGACATTGTGACTGTATTTACTAGTAAAGGTCTATCTAAGGTGGAGAAGCAGGGTGGCTGCAGGCCCCAGCCTCTTGTGCCTGACATGGGTGAGTTCCTTCCAGGAGAGCTGTGGCCCTATACTTCTTCAGCAGTGAATAGCCATGCGTAATAATTTCTTAGATCCATTAATTCATTAGGGATTACTAATGAATATTGTTCTCATTCTATCTTTCCTTGTTTATTACCTGACATATTCTACCAGGAGAAAATCCCTTTGTCCACCTGGTTTATTGGGAGATAAACATTGTCTAAGAAAGGCAGAGTGGCACAGTCCTGTAATCTTAATGACTTGGGAGGCTGATGCAGGAGGATCACAAGTTCAAAGCTAGCCTTAATAACTTAGCAAAGCTCTGTCACAAAATATAATATAAAAAGGGCTGGGTAAGTAGCTCAGTGGTAAAATGTCCCTGGGTTCTATCTCCAGTATCCACCACTCACCATCCCCCCCCCCCCAAAAAAAAAGAAAGGCTCAGTGTTTGTTTTGTATTGACTGATTTCCAAAAATATGAAAATTATATTCTTCAAAGGGGACCAATGAAGGCTTTTCCTTTTTTTTTTTTTGTTTCACATGAATGCACAAATTTAAACATATTTCAATTAGTTGCAGATATTATACATATGGTTGCTTCGGAAGTGTCCATATTCTCAGCCCTAACTGTTTAGCACACCTTTGCTTTCTGGTAGAACAAGATGCCAAAGTTCAGATTATACATTTCTACTCAGCCCTAGAATCATCTAAGTCTCTGTGGAGTTCAGAATGTTCACTGGAATTGATTTGGTGATTTCAGTGGTCAGAGCTAGGAAATGTGTGTGTGTGTGTGTGTGTGTGTGTGTGTGTGTTTAGAAAGATAACATGTGCTGTAAATTTATACTGATGTGTCTTTGTACTTCAAATGCAGGACTCAGGATTTGTCCTTGACCTCATCAATCTTATGGCACCATCTCCTTCCAAAGATGCCAAAAATAGATGTTCTGAAAGATGCCAGCACAATGGCTTATTTGATTTTCCTGCAACCCACATGCAATAGTCTTAGAATAATAATGCAAACTCTGCTACTACTGGTTGGTTATAGAAAGGAGTTTATGACTTTTTCCCCTGTAGTTCTGTTTGTCTTCAGGGAATATTCCATTAGGTAATTAGAATAGTTCTTCTCTGTATATTTATGCCACTAAGTGGATATCTTTATTCATTTGTTTCATTTTACTTTCAGTTTTTAAAGCTGGATTTTGCTTTATAACATTGTGTAATGTTCCAAAGTCAAATCTTCAAAGCAAGATATATTCTTAAAAGTCTGGCTTCTAGCACTCTTTCCCATTTTGTTTTATCCCTATAGATAATAATTTTTTCTTATTTTATGGTTTTCTTATTTTGTGATTTTATTCTTCTGATGCATATGTTTATATGTTCATACACAAGTGCATATTTTTACTGGAATGTCCTCTTTCTTGGATAATGGGTGATTCACCATACACACTTATAGAATTTTGCTTTTCTTAATAGTATTTTGTGGAGACTAACTCATATGAGCAGAAAGGGATTTCCTCATTCCTTTTTTTTTTTTTTTTGGTACCAAGGATTGAACTCAAGGATACTTAACCACTGAGGCACATCCCCAGTCCTATTTTTGTATTTTATCTTATTTATTTATTTTTAAAACATGATTTTTTAAGTTTATTTTTTGATAGTTTTTTAGTTACAGTCAGACACAATACCTTTTTTTTTTTTTTTAATGTGGGGCTGAGGATCGAACCCAGCACCTCATATGTGCTAGGTGAGTGCTCTACTGCTGAGCCACAACCCCAGCCCCCCTATCTTGTATTTTATTTAGAGACAGGGTCTCACTGAGTTTCTTAGGGCCTTGCCAAGTTGCTGAGGCTGGCTCTGAAGTTGTGATCCTCCTGCCTCAGCTTCCTGAGCCAGTGGGATTACAGGCATGCACCACTGTGCCTGCCTCCTCATTCTTTTTACAGCTCTATAGTACTCCCCTGTTTGGATTTCCTTTGTCCATATGCTAGACACCTGTTGATGAATTGTTGGGAAATTTCTAGAATTTCACAGTTACTAATAGAACTATAGTGTATATATTTGTGTATAGGTATTTTTCTATTTTTCCTAGCTGTATATTGTACCTTTAAACAGGTGAGCTGGTACCACCTTGGTGGCTGATGCTGAGGTCTCATAGACAACCGCATTATGAAACCTGGGAGATCTGGGGAAACTTGAAATCCTGAAGCTGAGAGTGAGGGGCTGGGGCTCTGAACATCACTCTAGGTGAAGGTCTGCTTAGCTGAGACCCAGCCTGGCATTGCCCTTTTCCCTCTTCCCAGATCCGGGGCCACCATGTGGCCCAGCTGGATCCCCTGGGCATTCTGGATGCAGACCTGGACTCATTTGTGCCTTCTGACTTGATCACAACCATTGATAAGTTGGGTGAGCATGGCAACCCTTCCCTGTTGCCCTGGCAGTGACTGATCAAGCTGGTGCTTGTGGCCCATTGGGGGTGGAGGGGTCTTATGCCCTATAGGGCAGTGTGAGCCCACTGCTTCTCGGTCCAATTAGCTCCTTCTGACCCTTACTCATCTGCTGTATGTATCCCTGAGAGGGATGTGTTCCTATTTTCTCTAGCTGGTACACTGCCCAGAAAGCAAGAGGGATTTGTCTAAGCCCATTCTCATGGTAACAGATGTGCTCTAACTCTCACCTCCTGCTTGCAAACAGACAGTTTATGAACTTCCAGGCTAGACCTGGAAGGAGGTCTGAGGAGGTCTGGGGATGCTGCCCTTCCTCTTGGGCCTGACCTCCCTCTTTCTCCCTCTCTGCTATTTGGGGCTCCTTCCCCAGCATTTTATGACCTGCGGGAGGCTGACCTGGATAAAGAGTTCCAGCTTCCCACGACCACCTTTATTGGGGGCTCTGAAAACACCCTCTCTCTGCGGGAGATCATCCGGCGCCTGGAGGTGAGCCCAGGCATGTGTATCCAATGGAACTCTCTGGAGCATCTGAGGAGAGAGGGACAGCCCTCTCTACCTTTTCTGTTCCAGATGCCAGGGCAATTGTCCCTGTTCCTGGCTTCCCATTAAGACTCTTCCTGGGCTGGGTGTGGTGGTGCATGCCTGTAATCCCAGCAGCTCGGGAAGCTGAGGCAGGAGGACCACGAGTTCAAAGACAACCTCAGCAAAAGCGAGGTGCTAAGCAACTCAGTGAAACCTTGTCTCTAAATAAAAGACAAAATAAGGGCTGGGGATGGCTCAGTGACCAAGTGTCCCTGAGTTCAATCCCTGGTTACCCCTGCCCCCCCACACACAAAAAATCCTTCCTGTCCCCCTAGACTACCTATTGCCAGCATATTGGCCTGGAGTTCATGTTCATTAATGATGTTGAGCAGTGCCAGTGGATTCGGCAGAAATTTGAGACCCCCGGTGTGATGCAGTTCTCCAGTGAGGAGAAGCGAACCCTGCTGGCCCGGCTTGTGCGCTCCATGAGGTTAGTACCACCCCAGATGGATTGCCCAGTGTAGTTGGAGGGGCCTGCTCTTGGCCTCAAGTAGGAAACAAGGAGGTGCCTGGCAAGGAAAGGCAGGACTGGATTGGCCTCCTCTGCTGGCAGTGGGGAGCCCTTAGAGCTTTGGAAACAGGTGCTCACTTAGTTTGGCCAAGAGCTGGTCCAGGAAAGAGCTAGGCAGGTAGGAAGGAGTAGGACTCCAGGAAAGCATGGTAGCAGGGGACACTCTGAAGAAGGGCAGAAGTAACTGGATGTGGCTGTCAGAATGTTTGGGCAGAAAGCTGTCCCCAGTGTGAAGTGATTATAGTGGTGTCTTATGGTGTGTGGAGGTGACTTCCTGACTGAGGTCTCAGAAACTAGGTCCTCCCATGGATGCAGGACTTAGAAAAGCACCTGGCCCAGGTGTTGGGTGCCAGGGGACTTTCTGAGAGGTGAGATGTGGCTGGATTCTGAATTCTGCTGGGGAGGTGGTCTTTGAGGTCTTGGGGAGAGAGTACTTGGCAGTGTGGGCAGGAGAGTAGTGGCAGAGAGCAGGTGGAGGATGGCCTGTTGGGGAAGTTGAGTTGTGAAGAGGAGAGAGGTGGCATCTGGGAAGGTATGGGCAGGAGTCTTTGGTGACCTGGCAGGACCCTCAGCCTGCCCTGACCTTGTGCTCCTTGCTGGGTGGGAGTGGTGTGCTCTGTAGGGGTGAGTACTAGATCATATAGTAAGAAGATGACTTTGCTCTTCCTTTGTCCTGGGCACCCAGCTCCTGTTGCTAATGAAAAGCCCCATGAGCTCCACCCCTGTCCCTCTCCATCCCTCCCCTTCCCTTTTCCCCAAGCAGGTTTGAAGATTTCCTGGCCCGGAAGTGGTCCTCAGAGAAGCGGTTTGGCCTGGAAGGCTGTGAGGTCATGATTCCTGCCCTTAAGACTATCATTGACAAATCCAGTGAGATGGGGATCGAGAACGTCATCCTGGGGATGCCACACAGGTGGGGCTGCCTTCTTTTCTATCGTTAGCTTTGTCCGTTTTCCAGGCTCAGGAGACTGAGTTGGAAGGGATGAGATGGAAATGAGGGTGTTGGTAGGGTCTTTGGGTAAAGGCCATCAGCCTGGTAGCTTCTCAGAGACCCTAGGTCTGACTTCATTCCAAGAAGAGCCAGGTACTTGGCCAAAGCACATGGGGCTGGGGACTAGTCAGGTGCTCTGAGACTCCCTTTCCTCTGACCATGTTGCTATAGTTCTTGGGAGGGGCAGAATTTTGTAAAGATATGCATTGTGCTTCTTGAAGTTCCTGTGGACATCAAGTGGAGGGCACATCCCAAGGAGGTGAAGGCAGGACCTGAATAGGTGGCCCTGGGTTGGCATTTCCTAGAGGGAAGGTGAGATGAAGGTGACTATCCCAGCTATAAAGTGACTGCATGTCTCCCTTGACCTTGATGAAAATTTGGAAAGCTTCTTCACCAGCAGTTTGTATGACCAGAGTCTGTGGGACGGGGCACTACTAGGGCAGATTCCCACCCTCACCTGATTCTGTTAGGTCCCAGGTATACAAAGGAGAATGATGTTGCTGGACCAGTGGGGGAAAGTGGCATTGGTGTCAGGTAATAACCAAGCCCTCTCTGGTTCCAGGGGCAGGTTGAATGTGCTGGCCAATGTGATCCGAAAGGACCTGGAGCAGATCTTTTGCCAGTTTGACCCCAAGCTGGAGGCAGCAGATGAGGTGGGTGCATGCCCTGGTTACTGTGTCCCTGAGAGGACCTGGTATTTAGGAGATGGAATAGGGAAAGGCTGGGCTGAGAGCTTACAGGTGAGATAGAACTTCAATGGACAGAAGTGGAGAAGAGTGGGAGAGAGGCTGCATTATTTGCTGCAATATTTGATCTCTAAGGCTGTTGGGAACAAGTGCTGTCATGAGATAGCTAGGAGGGCCCTCTGATAATCTGGGCCAACCTCCTGTTTTCTAGCTAGGGAAACTGAGGCCCAGAGAAATGCAAGGACTTTACAGAGGTTGCTCACTTCGGCTTATGTGTGTGCCTCTGTCCCCAAGTCCTGTCCATCAGTCTGGAAGGGCCCCCTCACTTGTTTGTTTGCCCAGGAGAGTCTTGGGAGGTCAGAAAGTTGCCTGTGGGGGTCAGCCAAGGACATGCTTTCCTACTCCCACCGGCTCCTAGCTGGCATGTGTATTGTACATGCTGCACACCCAGCCGTGGCCATGCTAGCCCCTCAGTCCCCGTTGCTTTCCCCCTTTCCTCTGCCCTCTGCCTCGTTCAAAGTCCTGCTTGTTTCTCCTTTTGGTGGCACTGCTAGTCTTCTGGGTGAGCCTGTCCCTCCCTCCCCTGAAGCCTCTGTGTTCATTTGCCCTCAGTACTAGTCTCTGGCTTTCTTCAGCCTGCCATGTGTGTCTGTCTGTCTGTATCTGCATGTACGCATATCAAGTTGCATATCTATTTTCTCCTCTAGGATGAGGATAAGAACCTTGCCTTTAAAGCCCCAGTATCCAGTTCCACAGGTGCTTGGTTTGTTGAAATAAGTCACAATAAATGACTGCCCCAAGGACATTGAGTACATTGTACCTGAATAAGATCCAGAATCTACATCTGCTGGCTCCCAGCCCAGGGTTTTTCCAAAGTCCTGTTCATTTTACTCAAGCACCTTGAACTCTCTAAGCCTCATTTTTTTCCTTTGTAAAACTGGGATAAAAGCACCTGCTCCACTGTGGTTGTGAGGAAATGAAGAGATGATCATGGTGTTGGTGGTGCGTGTGCATGTGTACGCTGTAAAACTTGATTGAGGAGAAGTTTTTAAAGAATTTCTAAATTTTTTATTGAAAAAAATATGAGCACTATTTTTTTAAAAAGGTAAATTACAAAAGAAATATGAGCATTGCTTAAAAAAAGTTTACACAATGAGAATGTTTCCTCTGTGAGACCCCATTCCTTTGGCCAGTTTTTGTGTGTGTGCTTATGTTTGTTCTGAGGTATGTGCTTCCAGAATGTTCCATTCAGACACAAACACAGTTACTCCATTACAGCCTTATTTGTAGAAGGCCACGGGAGCAGCCTGTGATGCCACTGGCACCTTGTTGTCCCCACATACAAGGTTGTCATTGTTTTATACCAGCACATGTGTGACACCCCAGGCTTCTTAAAGCTACAGTGTCCCCTGCAAGGGCATTAGGTCATTGTAATGAGTGTCCCTGCACATGTACAAATGAGTACATTGGTTATATGGTGTCTGGGAAATGCAGTGGCCAAAGCTAAGGAGGTAGGATCATATGACCCTCTGGGGAGCTTGCAGACATGGTGTATGCCTGCTGTGCCCCTGTCCTCACATACACTCTTGGATCTTTCTGTCTTTGCCAATATAAATATCAAAATGATTTCATTTAGACATATCTTTGTTATGAACTCTATTGAATATCTTTTCATATGTTTTTGAACCATTTATACTTTTTGTTCTGTAAATTCTCTGTCCTGGTTTTCACTCTATAGGTAGGGCTTTTTGGGTTTTATCTTATTGATTTGTAAAAGCACTTTGCACTTTGAGGATACCAGCCCTTTGCCTACACTTTTCTTGTAAGTATTTTCCTCAGCTTGATTGTTTTCTCCCTAGCATGTGCCTGTATTTGCTTCTCCCACCCATGACAAGTTAATTCCTTTTTAGCTCTCTTATGATTTCTGGACTTTGAATATCATTTAGAAAGTAAACCTTCCCTTACTCCCATATTGTAAGATACGTCTTGTTTACCTCAATACTGCTATGGCTTTGATTACTTTGGTGTGAGGAGTGAGGAAGGGATTCAGTTCTGGTGTTTTCCTAGAGGCCTGGTATATGGACTTAGCTCTGTTATGAGCTGCTCTTCATTCTCTGTGGTCACTACCTCTTGATGGCCCTTCTTCTTGATGCCTTTATCCTTTCCCATGCTGTGGTCATTTAGGTTGAGAGGATGATAGTTGATAATGTAGAGGGGGCTCTTATGAGAAAGTGGCTCAGGGCTCCAAGCCCCAGGAGGAGCCTACCTTTCTGCTTTAGCTAGTCTAGAAGTGCAAGAAAGGCAGTGTGACCAGAAAGAGAGATGGTTCAGAGACAGCATAGACTTCAGAGGAAAGAGAAGCCAGGTAATGTCCCAGCCCAGCGTGGGCTTGAGTGTCTTCATCTCCCTCAACCTGTTTGGCATGGGGTGGGGATAGGTTCATCATGTTCTACCTTGACCTTCAGGGCTCTGGGGATGTCAAATACCACCTGGGCATGTACCATGAGAGGATCAACCGCGTCACCAACAGGAACATCACATTGTCACTGGTGGCCAACCCCTCCCATCTGGAAGCTGTAGACCCTGTTGTACAGGGGAAGACCAAGGCAGAACAGTTCTACCGCGGGGATGCCCAAGGCAAGAAGGTGTGCTCCTAGCTAGGCCTGAAGGTGTTCTCTGAGGGTCAGGTCCCAAGGGTGGGGCTATAGGGGACTAGTTCTGGAACTTGGGCTCAGATGACCTGGATTCCAAGGACCTAGGCTTGGATATCTTGACCCCAAGAGGTTGGGGAGTATCCTGTGAGGGCTAGTCCCTGAGGGATTATGCTCTGGGACTTGGGCCCTGGGGGGCTAGATGCTGGGGCCCGATGGGTGGGCCTCTGGGGACCTGGGCCTTAAGAGGCTGGACAAAGAGGTCCTGGGCCCTGGGTCTTCATGGTAGAGGAGTCAGGGACACTGCACATCCTGGGGCATAGGCCCTGCTGGCTCACACCCTGTACTGCAGGTCATGTCCATCCTTGTCCATGGGGATGCTGCCTTTGCTGGACAGGGTGTGGTGTATGAGACATTCCACCTGAGTGACCTGCCTTCTTACACCACCAATGGCACTGTGCACGTCGTTGTCAACAACCAGGTAAGGGGTGGGCTTCATGCCAGGCCATATACCTGTCACTGGAGATCTAGGTGGTGGGTTGGTGGGAACAGTGAGATACCCTGGCTGTCATCCCACTGTCTCACTGCCCTGCCACTTACTGGCATGCAGTCTCAGGCAAAGTACCTGATCCCCAGCCCACATGTCCTGGTCTATGAAATTGGTAGATACATTTGTGTGCACACATGTATGTGTATGTGTGTGTATTTGGCCTTCTGTTCTGCATCCACAGGTTTAGCCAACTGAAGCACAAATAATTGTGGCTGGGCCAATACAGTGTCACACACCTGTAATCTCAGCTACTCAGGAGGCTGAGGCAGGAGGATTGCAAGTTTGAAGCCAGTCTGGGAAACTTAGCGAGACCCTGTCTTAAAATAAAATAAAAAGAAGGATGAGGATGTAGCTCAGTGCATGAAACCCTGGGTTTAATCCCCAGTACCAGAAAAAAAAATTTTGAGGAAAAATTAAACCTGTACAGAACATGTACATGGTTTTTTCTTGTCATTGTTTCCTAAACAATACAGTATAACAAGTATTTACACAGCATTGACATGGGTATTATAAGTTATTTAGAGATGATTTAAAGAATACAGGAAGATACGTGTAGGTCACACACAAATATGATGCCAGTTTATTTAAGTGACTTTGAGTGTCCAAAGATTTTCCTGAGAGGGTCCTGGAACCAGTCCCCCACAGATACCAAGGGACAACTGTACTTAGTACAGAGAACGTTGAAAGGAATACAATATGGAGGCTGTGTGTAACAAGATGTTACCTTTAGCTTCACCTGAGCAAGTTGGTCTCAGATCACAGTGTCACCTGCCTTTTCTTGAAGGCAGCTGTGATTAATAAGGGTTCATCTATGAGCTTAGAGCATTAACTGCCTTATTTACAATGCCATTGGATCTTCCTTGGGTAAACCTGCAGGCAGGAATTTAATGAGCCCTTTTGATAGATGAGGACACTGAGGCTTAGGGAATTGAAGTTCGTTATCCAAACTTGTACAGTCACTTGCTGGCACACTGGGTTTTTCCAGGCCTGTGTTCCTCACTACTAACATAGAGAAGTGACGGATGGAAAAAGAAGCAAGCGTAGCTCTACTGGTGCTCTGTTGTCCCTGTGGGCACTGCTGTCATGTCTGACTGTGGGGCTGTTCGCTATTATGCTTCATGTCCTATATTTTAGGTACCCTCCAACTGGTTGGACCCTGCAACCCAGTTTCTTCACCCACTGGGTCTCTAGAAACTGGGGCTCGGCGTGTAGCTCAGTGGTAGAGTGCTTGCCTGGCATGCACCAGGCCCTGGATTCATCCCCAGCACTACAAAACAAAAAAAGGGAACCATTGGGTGCAGTGGCACATGCCTGCTGTCCCAGGTACTCATTACTATTACTAAATAATAATAATAAAGAGATGCTGTTGGTTCCTTCTGCTCCTGCAGATTGGCTTCACCACAGACCCCCGAATGGCCCGCTCCTCACCATACCCCACTGATGTGGCCCGAGTGGTCAATGCACCCATCTTCCATGTGAATGCAGATGACCCAGAGGCTGTGATATATGTGTGCAGTGTGGCAGCTGAGTGGAGGAACACCTTCAACAAAGATGTCGTTGTGGACCTGGTGGGTCTTGGGGACTGAGGCCAAGGCAGGGTGATGGCTCCTCCTAGCAATGCTAAGCAGGCCTGATGGGTTTGGGGTGCTAAGGCCAAGGCAGGAGTGAGTGGCCTGATCCCACCATGCAAGGCAGACCAGGTCTTCCGAACCTTCAGCACTAAGGGCTAGGACTGCTTTTTAGACAGGTTTAGTGCCACTAAGAGCTATCTGTGTGCAAAGTCCTGGGCATGGGACATTTGTTTAGTGATAGGTGATAATGGGTGCTTTCGAGAGCTTCAGAGTCTGCCCTGCCTGGATGTGACCCTGTTTTGTAGTGACTACTGAGCACACAGCCTGGGCAGGGACTGAGCCCCCAGCTTCCCTACAGGTTTGTTACCGGCGGCGTGGCCACAATGAGATGGACGAGCCCATGTTCACACAGCCGCTCATGTATAAGCAGATACACAGACAGGTGCCGGTGCTGAAGAAGTATGCAGATAAGCTCATTGCTGAGGGAACAGTCACCCTGCAGGAGTTTGAGGTAGGTACATGGGCACTGGGAACAAGTCTCAGATAGAACTGGGTGGGAACCTTGGAGTAGTTATAGATGTCACCAACTCAGTACTGGGCACAGAGGGTTTAAAGAAGTAGTCAATGTGGTCCTTGTCCCCAAGAGTCCCTGGTTAACAAAGTGCACAGAGAACTAAGTACACAGTTACAGCCGGGTAGGGTGCAGCAGGTGCCATGATGCAGGAGAAGCCCAGTTTCAGGCAAGATTCCCAGGAGGCTTCCTATAGAGGGATCCCTGAATTGGGTTCTTCCCCCAAATCATCTATAGACATGTTGGTCCTTCCATCTTCAGGGAACTCAGAGCAAGGGCTGTGAAGTCTTTCCTGGTTCTTCCCTCAAGCCCCTTACTGAGCATACAGCAGGCCCACAAGGCCTGGCTATAGCCATGAGGTTCCTACAAGCCAGGAGGCAGAGAATTCTAGAACTTGATGAAGGGACCAGGGCTTATGAGTCTGGGCAGATGGAGCCTCTGACTGCCCTGGGCATTGCTGCCTCCATCCATATCTTTATCCTGATTCCAGGAAGAGATTGCCAAATATGACCGGATTTGCGAGGAGGCATATGGAAGATCCAAGGATAAAAAAATCCTTCATATCAAGCACTGGCTGGACTCTCCTTGGCCTGGTGAGTTAGTGGTGTATGGCTCAGTGATCCACCTGAGCCTTGAGTTCTGGTACAGGGACAGGACTGAAATGGCCTTGGGTAAAAGCAGTCTCTGCCCAGCTAGACACTGAGGTTGTATCCTGCACACCCCCAGGCTGTGGGGGCCCCATTCCTGCAGGTCAGGGTAGGTTGGGGCAGAGGGGTGACCATGTATAGCTAGTGGTCACGTGTGCTACCTGGAAAGGAAGGGTTGCTGGTGGGGAGCTCAGAGGGCTTCCCTGGAGGGGCAGGGCTGGGTCAGATGTGACCCAGGCCCTGTAGAAAGTGTGGGGCAGGTATAGGAGTACAGCTGTGGCTCTTCAGCTGTGGTAAGTCCCACAGATGGTCCAGAGCCAGCCAGTGTGGGTAAGGAAGCCATAGGCCCCTTAGTCCTGGGACAGCAGGCTGACCAGGGACATCAGAGCCTTTTGCTATCCAAATGTGAACAGTCTCTGTCGTTCTCAGGCTTCTTCAACGTGGATGGGGAGCCCAAGAGCATGACGTGCCCCACCACAGGCATCCCTGAGGACGTGCTGACCCACATTGGCAATGTGGCCAGCTCTGTGCCCTTGGAGGACTTTAAGATCCACACAGGTGAGGGTGCTATGTGGTCTCCAGTGCAGTCATTGACCCAGACCTAACATCATGCCCTGTAGGGAGGTGGGTTGGGACAACAAGGGAGACTGCATGGAATGTCCTTGCTGAGCCCTTGGTGGGTTTGCTCTGCTCCTGAAGTCCCATTTGTGCCTCTGGGGTGCCCTTGATCGTAGCTCCTTTCATGGTGGGTGTAGGGAGTTGAGCACATGTGGATGCCATTGCAGCTCCATGCCAGGGACCAGTCTCATATTGGGCACTTTGGGGTTTTCCAAACACAGTTGCTGGGGAACATGACCTTGGCCAGGCAGAGGAGCAGAGAAGCAGGGGCTTCCATGGAGGAGGTGGTGGGGCCAGGACTCTGCTGGCAGGAAGGATGTGGGCCTGCTGCTGGCATGGGCAGATGCCTGAGGTCAACCCCACAAATCCCTGGCTAATGAGCCTGGCTAGCACACCCCTTGCGTTTGGATGCTGTGGCAGCTGTAGGGCCACTACAACTGTAATAGGGTAACTGCATACCTTCTGACCAGCCCATTAGAGTTTTAAGGGAGCTCCCTCACAATGTGCATGGAAGCCAGGCATCCTGGGGCACCTGCTGATGATGTGAGTGCTCCTCTCTGTGCACAGCACAGGGTGTTTGTACATGTACCAGACTCAATCCTAAGTCTCTTGCTAGGCATGTGATCTTGAGTTCATGACTTCCCTCCTGTGAGCCTCAGTCTCCTCACCTGGAGAGTGGGACACTCCTCCCTGTAGGGTTGCTGTGAAGAATCCTGACTCAGTGCATGAGTATCTGGGACTGGCTCCTTGTTCCCACAGAGAGGGGTTGGCTGTTTCAGGTTGGCCTATTGTACTGGCTAGAAGCTGGAGTTGGGGGCTGGCACTAGGCCCTCCTGCAGCTTGCCAGGACCCTGTTTTTACACTAAACACTTACCCCAGGACCTTTGCTTCAGCTGTCCCAGAATAGTTGTCAGGCTCCGGAGGCCCTCAGACCCCCTTCCCTTCTGCAGGCCTCTCTCGCATCCTGCGTGGCCGTGCAGACATGACCAAGAAACGGACAGTGGACTGGGCGTTGGCAGAGTACATGGCCTTTGGCTCCTTGCTGAAAGACGGCATCCATGTGCGGCTCAGTGGACAGGATGTGGAGAGAGGCACGTTCAGGTAAGGGCAGGGTAGGTTCTGGGTCCCAATCCCTGGGCATTGGTCATGTTCCTATAGAACCCATAGGGGAGCTCATTGCTCAGCAATGTTTGGGGTATCCCAGGGTCAGCACAGGAGATCTGGATGAGGGGCTGGCCTTTCGTCTTCTTCCTGGACCTGGTCTGAGGACCCAAGGAAGACTCCCTTGTCTAGCTGAGGTTTTCACAGCTAATCCCATTCGCAGCCACAACCCCCAGCCAAGGCCCAGTAATCAGAGGGCTGCTGACTTCTCTCTGATTCCCCTGCAGCAGCTATGCAGAGCTGATTTCTTAGCCCAAGATGGTGACTCATATCTAGTGGTCTGGTGGTCATCTCTGGTCCTAGGATTCTTTATTTTTATTTTTTGATGAACTGCGGTCAGACCAGCCTTCCCTATCTTGCTTGTTGGATCTCACACTTACATCACATTTTCCTGATTTGGGCCCCCAGCTGTTTCACACCCTTACTCAGTGCCATGTTGGCATGTCATGCTGATGTGGCTTGCAGAATTCAACCAGCTATCTTGCTCTTGTTCTGGTTGCTCATCTCTGCTGGCTTTGCTCTAGCCAGGGACCTAGGCAGCTGCTTTGCTGCCCCTTGGCTGCACATTGGCCCTTGCCAGGGTTCAGCCAGGTGGTCCTCTTTAGGTATCAGCCTCAGGTCCTGCACAGCAGTTCCTGCCTCCTTAGAGGTTGGACAGGGCAGGTGAGGTAGCAGAGGAGTCAGCAAGGTAACAGCAGGACAGTGCCCCAGAGGTGTGGCCTCCTGGGATCTCAGGTTCTTCCTTGCTTTTGGGAGGTCAGCAGGGCAAGTCTCATCGGGTCTCTCTGTGAGTGAGAAGCTGAAACTCAGGGAGGTGCCATGACTTGAAAATCTTGCTCCCAACCCCCTGGTGCAGTGTGTGGGCAGTGGGCAGGCCAGGGGCAGGCAGGGGAGGGAGTTGTAGGGGGAGGGACTGTGGCAGCTGTCTTGGTGTCAACATCCTACGGGACCCTTCAGGTTTCATGGGGTATTGATGAAGGCTTGCCTGCCTCCGGCTGCCCAAGCTCCCCTGCTTTGGAATTGGTGCCAGCCCTCCTGCCCTCTGTCCCTTTCCTGGTCTGTCTCCCCAGTCACCGGCACCATGTTCTCCACGACCAGGAAGTTGACCGGAGGACGTGTGTCCCTATGAACCATCTGTGGCCTGACCAGGCCTCCTACACCGTGTGCAACAGCTCCCTCTCGGAATATGGAGTCCTTGGTGGGTTAGGCAGGCCCTGAGATAGCTGGGGACGAGAGAGAAGCTGGGAGGGAGCCAGGGTTATGGCCTGGGAGGGCTGCAGAGCTCAGAGACTCCTGAGGGGGCAGGTACTGGGCTGCCCCCTACTGGGGACATGTGGGAGATGAGATTCTGTCCTATCTGGTCCCCTCAGGGATCCCAGTTGGAGAGCCTTGCTTGCCTTGTGTGGAAGGGGACTTTATACACCAGAGCCCCTTCCCTGGACACCAGCCTTGGTGGGCTGGGACAGAAAGCCCAGTAGAGTCCATTATGGGACATGGCTACTGACTGGCCCTGCTGCGTCCATGTTCCTGAGTCCCATCTTGCCTCCTCTGCCCTGCACCCCAGGAATCCTGTACTGAGGTCCCTTCCATGGGCTCTGGCTCCCCTGTGTCTGCTATATATGTTTCCCTCAGCTCAGCCATTGGCTAGCATGCTTCTTCCCTCACTCCTCTTCCCAGAGTTTAGCCACCCACTCTAGGGAGATGCCTCTGGGCCAATTCCTCCCCTTCCTCATCCGCATCTCTGCACACATTTTTGGGTAGTTCTTGGCATATGGTTTCTGCTACCTCCCAGGTATCTTTGGCCTTAGCTCCTGGGCTAGATAAAGCTAAACCTGGCCATGTATGATATATGAGATGAAGGTGACGTGCGTGTTGCCAGCTTCCAGAAGACACATCCTGGCCTTTGAGTCCCAAGGAACCCCTGGGTTCTTTCTGGCTTCTTGGGAAGGATGAACTTGGGTAGGAAGGCTGGGTTTCACTGGTCTGACTGCTGTTTGGTGACAGTATGCAGCAAGCCCTATCTTGGTGTCTTCTCTTTAGGTTTTGAGCTGGGCTACGCCATGGCCAGCCCCAATGCCCTGGTTCTCTGGGAGGCTCAGTTTGGTGACTTCCACAACACAGCCCAGTGCATCATCGACCAGTTCATCAGCACTGGCCAGGCCAAGTGGGTGCGGCATAACGGCATTGTGCTGCTTCTGCCCCATGGCATGGAGGGCATGGTGAGGGCTGTGGTGGCTAGGTGGGCTCTGGTGGGGAGATCCTTGGCCCATTGCAGGGTGGAGGGGTTTCTGCCTTCTATGGCCCTGGAGCACAGGGATCTGCCTTATGGGGAGGGAAGGGAAAGGCCAAGATAGGGATGAACCTACCCCTTTCTGGCATGAGGTCTTACCCTCTCAGTCTCTCACCTCCCTCTCTGTGTGTCTGCCTCCCGGGCTTCTTTCAAGATGAGTCCTGACAGAAGTGCTCGCTCACTCAGTGGCAACACTGAGAAAGTGTAACTTATTACCTCTTCCTGCCTCCCTGCACGCTCACACATGCTGGCCCTGGGTGGATCCCCTCTGCAAATGCCCTGCCTGCTCTTGCCTCACATTCCTGGTTTTTCCTTGTGGTTCAAGCTCCATAGTGAGGGCACTTCCCTCAGGCCTGGGGTCCCAGCGGGGCCAGGTGTGCCCTGTGTAGGTCACCTTGGCTATCTCTTATTTGCTTTCAGGGGCCTGAGCATTCCTCAGCAAGACCGGAGAGGTTCCTGCAGATGAGTAATGATGACTCTGATGCCTACCCAGTGAGTGCTCCTACCATCCCCCAGGATGGGGGCCACCCTGTTGGGCCTTGGGGGGCCAGGGTGTGGGTGCAGCATGTGACTTCCTCCAGTCACCACTGGCCTCCTCCTGGCCTTTGCAGGTGTTCACTGAGGACTTCGAGGTGAGCCAGCTCTACGACTGCAACTGGATCGTGGTGAACTGCTCCACGCCAGCCAGCTACTTCCATGTGCTGCGCCGGCAGATCCTGCTGCCCTTCCGCAAGCCGGTGAGCTGAATTGTGCCTGCCCCCGTAGCACCTTTTCAGTACGAGGGTTGAATGTGGGAAGCCCTGGACAGGTGGGGACAGATGATCGCTGGGCATGTGTTTCCCTTCCAGCTGATCATCTTCACACCCAAATCTCTGCTGAGGCATCCAGAGGCAAGGTCCAGCTTTGACCAGATGGTGTCCGGTATGTGCCAAGCCTAGCAGTGTTGGGTGGCCTGCACTGGGGAGATGGCCTACGTGGGGCCCAGTGGCCCGTGCGTGGCGTCTGCTTCTGGGGTTCTTCTGTTTTCCTTTCCGTCTGGGGCTCTGTCAGCCCTCTAATAGCTCTTCTCCTGGTCCCCACAGGCCATGGGGTTGGGAGGTTGGCACTGTGGCCAGCTCTGGTCACTTGTATGGAGCTGTAGGGCTAGAGGTGTGTGCTATCCATCCTCCTTAGCCACCAGCAAGGCTGACCTGGCTCTGCCAAGGTTGCTCAGAGGTGGGAGGCCAGTGAAGTGCTGCCTAGTTTGCTGTGCATTGTCATTCATTCATTAATCCATCTTTTCACTCATGAACCAAACACACATTACTGGCCTGGGTCCCCCTCCAGGAGCTCTCAGTCTTACTGACCTGGGGGGTTAGAGGAAGCACATGGAAGACCAGTGCTGAACTTGAGATGTGATTCCGTAGAGAATCAGGGAGAAGCAGGTATAAGGCACTGAGGTTGGCAGAGTCGAACCCCCTTGGTAAATAGAAGAAGCACCAACTGGCCATAAAGGGCCTTAGTGGCATGGACAGGTATTGGTTTTTCCCCTGTGTCTGGGTGTTCCCTCCAGTGTGGGAAGATGGCTAAAGTGGGTAGTTCACAGCTCCTGCAATGGGACTGGACCACCTGGTCTGATCAGCTGGTGCTGACCCTTCTCCTGTGGGACTGGCTGCAGTTAACCTGTCTGCCTCAGTGTCCTCACCTGGGATGCAGTGATGCGGGGACACTGTAGCAGCTTCCTGAAAGGTTTTGCAACCTGCTTGATCTGGCACATGGTGTGACCTCTGGCAGGAAAAATGGATAGGGCTTCAAGATGGGGGCTGTACTGCAGGTCTGAGGGGAAAAGAGGGCACAGTGGCCTCTCAGTAGCTACTCGTCATCCAGTGTGGTGAATGGGGTATCATGCAGGGAGTGGGCACCACTGGAGGTAGCAGGTCTTGGACAAATGATGATGCCATCAGATCAGTCTCCTGCAGGGGCCTGTACTCCTAATAACCAGCATCTTAAATATTGATGCTCCCAGGGTTCTGCTTATGGCTACAGCTCCATTTCCACCCCTGTCCTTGTGATATCTCATAGTGTCCTCTGTCCCTTGCTCTAACTTTTGGATCAAGAGTTGCCAGTTATAACCACAGGCCTAAGCCTGGGGTTAGACTCAGCAGCTAGGGAGAGCCTGGGGATGTTGGGGATCTTTTAGGAGCTTCTCTGTGTGTGCTTCTTTCTCTGTGTGCTCACGTCACTGCCATGCCATATTGGTCCCCAGGGACCACCTTCCAACGAGTAATTCCTGAAGATGGGGCTGCAGCACGGGCTCCTGAACAGGTGCGGCGGCTCATCTTCTGCACGGGAAAGGTGTACTACGATCTGGTGAAGGAACGCATCAGCCAGGGTCTGGAGGAGCAGGTGGCCATCACACGCCTGGAACAGGTGTGCCAAACTCTTCTAGTGATTAGAGAAACAAGCAAGATTGACTCGCCAGCCCCCAGCTCTGGGCAACGTACCAGGCAGGGCTGGGAGGGCCTGTTGAAGGATGGCTCCTGTCTTGGGAGCCCTGGGCACACTTCCCCTCATCTGTGCCCCATTTGACCTTGCTTCCCCAGATCTCTCCGTTCCCCTTTGATCTGATCAAGCAGGAGGCAGAGAAGTACCCAGGAGTGGAGCTGGTGTGGTGTCAGGAGGAACACAAGAACATGGGATATTATGACTACATCAGCCCACGCTTCATGACCATCCTTGGCCACACTCGCCCCATATGGTACAATACTTGGAGGACCAATACCTACCCTTGCTTCTTTTGGGACTGCCTGTGGCTCTGGGCTTGATGACCCCATCCTGTCCCTGCCTGTCCCATTGGCCGTGCTACTTGGAACTGGCCTTTATTCTTTGAGCCACATTTGAAAACCTGGGAGTTGAGCCCTGTAGTCCCTGCTGGCTCCATGTGTTCTGACTGTGGTGGGTTAGCTTCCCCTCAGGGATGGAGCATCAGCAATACCACCTTTATACAGAGTAGACCTTTGTTTTTGTTCTGTAGCCAGAGCTGAATTACAGAACTTTCTACATGTCTCAAACCTCCATCCATTGAGCCTAGCTTCCTTATGTAGACTCTGTGAACTCTTTGTCTCTGCAGCAGGATGATGATAGGCTTAGACCCCATGGACAGATTAGCCCTCTGAGGTGCATGGCACATAGTAGCTGCTCAGTGCTTAACATTGGCATCACTTGTCTTTGGGAAGATGGTAAAGGGGTATGAGAAACTCTAAGTCAAAAGTGTGTTTGTCCCCAAAGCCTTTAAGTTTAACCCATTTGTTTTCTTCATGGGCAGATCTAGTGACATAGAGAGGGCAGTTTCTCCTCCCTGTCCTATAGCTGGGTAGCTGAGTTTGCCCCAGGCCCTCAGCTCACTGGGAGTGGTGTCCAGACAGTTCCCATAGCTAAGCCAGCTCTCCTCAGATGTGTGCCCTATAGTCCTGGGGTGAGTGTGGGCTGAGGCCAGGCCCACCCCTCCCCTTAGCTGTCTCTCCTCCAGGTATGTGGGCCGTGACCCAGCAGCTGCACCAGCCACTGGAAACAGGAATGCACACCTGGTGTCACTGAAGAAGTTTCTGGATACTGCCTTCAACCTTCAGGCCTTCGAGGGCAAGACATTCTAGAGTTAGTCAAGGCCTACCTGGGTCTTGCTGTGGGATCAATTGGGGATTTAGGAGGCCTGAGAGGGGGAAGGACTACTTGGTGCCCCAGGACCAACCATTCTTATGTAGCGATTGAGGCCAAAGAGTAGCACTGCTGGCTTCGGTACTATACCAACTTTGGCCTTCATGTTTATTTCAGAATCTGTAGGACTGAGAAAGTCAGAGGGGTCTGATAGAAAGGATATAATTCTAGAGTATTCCCTCAGTTTCCCCAAGCTTTCCGGAAGCTTTTGTGTTATTTCCCCATCTGTGTTGTTCATGTCTCAAAACAGCCAACAGCAGTCCTTGTGTCACTCCCATCCTGGCAGACTTGGATGCCACTCACCCTATCCATGTTCATCTGTAGATGCAAAAGGAAGTTCGCTTTTATGCTCTTAGACATGGAGATTTCAGCAATAACAAGCAGGTGAAGCAAAACCATGCCAGGTGACTTATGTATGCTCTGTTTTATGGGGCGTGTCCTAAAGGTATGCCAGCTTCAGTGTGAGATGCAGCCACAGCTCATGTGTACCAAAGTAGAAAACCAAATAATAATAATAATAATAAAAAATGCCTAAGAGAGATTTGCTGTTTTCATTTCATGTTGTAAAATCAAGGGAGGAGCATTTTGGTGCATTCTGGGTGGGGAGTGGGGAGAAAGAAAAAGATAAACATGTAGAGGACAGATTTTCCTCCAAGCACAAGGCATTGTTTGCAAGTCTTTGGCTTCATTCCTATCCAGCTTCTGTTGGCTTTGCTTCCCACCAAGATGCTGGGGAGCTGAAGCACAGAGACATTCTGCTTTCTACAAGTCATTTGTTTACTTACCCCCTTCCCAGAGTACTTTCTCTTTGTTAGATGCTCGGCACTGAGGTGTGCTAGCTCTTCAAACTCAGAAATTCAGCTAGGTAGATGCAATTTTTTATTTTTATTTTTATTTATTTATTTATTTTGGGTGCTGGGGTCAAACTCAAGGCCCTGTGCACACACTCTACTATTGAACTGCACCCTCAGTCCAATGCAAGTGGTTTAATTCTGAGTTAGGGTTTATGCTGGAGGTAAGTACAGAGTGCTGTGGGAGTCAGAGAAGGCTCCCTGAATGAAATGGTATTAAGAAAGATGAGTCCTATATGAGAACTAAAGGGAGATGAGTCTCCCTAGAGAAGACCCAGAAATACTAACCAGGGGGTTGGCATGGGGCAACACAGAGAAAGAAACTAAGGTTAGGCCGGGGACTGTTAAGTGCTGTCAGCCTCAAATCCAGGTTCGTGTGCACTTGGAATCCTACTGCAGAAGCATTCTAAGTAAAATAAATAAGGTAAAAATAATTAGAGCTGCAACTGGTAGTGTGTCTGCTATGTTCTGGAACCTCTGTGGAATGTTTGGCATGCCGTGATTAAGTGCTGTTTAACTTCACCCGTTTTGAGAATATGCTCATTTTATAAATGAGGAAATCAAGGCCTAAGGTCACACGCTGAGGAAGTAGTGGTTTTGAACGTGGCTTCTGTCTACAAGCCCATACTGCTTCCCTTGGAAGAAAGCTCTTCCTAGGGCTGTGACAGTGGGCAGAGGTGCAGTCAGTGAGGCACCTGGGCTGGGCAGGGAGCCTCAGGCTCTGAGTTGGATGGTTGGCCCGGCTTCCCTAAGGCATATATTGCCTTTCCTTCACATTGGTACTTGAAGGCTGCAGACAGGCTGGTGGGGGACCTCCTGAGAAAGTGGGGTGACTGCCAGATCAATAAATGAAGGAACACTAACTGTGTGGAAAAAAAAGGGGCTCCAAACTCTATAAACTAAGAACTAACTGGGAAATAAAATGAGCTCATGGGACAAACAGAAGGCTTTAAATGAACTGTGATAACTTCAGAGGGCAGAATATTGCTACTGGGAAACAATCACAGATTGTTTAAAAAATAACTGATTTGCTGAGCACCCTGGTGCACACTTGAAAGCCTGGTGCATGCCTGTAATCCTTGTTTCTCAGGAGGCAGGAACAGGAGGATCACAAGTTCAAGGCCGGCATCTGAAGTTTAGCAAGGCCCTAATCAATTTAGTGAGATCCTGTCAAAAAAAAAAAAAAAAAAAAAGGCTGGGGATGTAGCTCAGTGGTAAATTGGGTTAAAACAAAACAACCTGATTAGATATTTAGAATATACCAAATATTGTCAAAATAAAAATCTTAATGGAGAGGCTTAATAGAAGAGATATATCTGGAATATAAACAAGAAGTTTGGAGTTAAGGACTTCTCCCAAGAAAGTAAATCAAGGAACAAAGATATATCTTTAATATTCCTTTAAAGAGATATGAAGGACACACAGATTTCACAGTTCAGACAGATCTGGCAAATCCCAGGAGAAAAACCAGGGATCCTTAAGGTGATGGAATTTATTGTCTCTTAACTGTGTCAATATCCTGGCTGTTGTCTTGTGCTATAATTTTGTAAGTTGTTACCATTGAGGGAAACTTGAACAAGCTGCATGGGATATATTTCCTACAAACTATGTATAATTCTATTATTATATCAAATAATGTTTAACTAAAAATGAATTGTTTGCTCCCTGTTACTGAGTTGTAAGAATTCCTCATGTAATCTAGATACAAATTCTTTATCAGATATGTTTTGCAAATATTATCAATCTATAGCATGTATTTTAATTTTCTCCAAGAATGGAAGATTTTTATTTTCATCAAGTCTAATTTATCACTTTTTATAGTTTGTGGGGTTTTTTGGTGTCTGTAATAAAATACCATTGGCCAGGTGGCTTATAAACAACAAACATTTAATTCCTCACAGTTCTTTTGGCTGTGAAGTCTAAAATCAAGACACTGGCAGATTCATTGTTTGATAAGGGCTCCCTCTTAGTACATGGTGTATCCTGCTGTGTCCTCACCTAGTGGAAGGGGCAAACAAGCTCCCTTGGGCCTCTTTTTATAAGGACATGATCCCATTAATGAGAGCTCTACTTCTACCACCTAACCACCTCTGAAAGACCCTAGTCCCTAATACCATTACCTTGGAGGTAGTATTTCTTCATGTGAATTTTGATAGAATGCAATTTTTCAGACCATAATAATGTCCTAACTAAAAATTTATTTCTAAAACTATATTGCAAACATTTTCTCCTAATTTTTTTTTCTGGATAGTTTAAGTTTGAGGTCTATAAACATATATTGAGTTATTTTATATACGGTGTGAGATGAGAGGAGCAAGATTTTTTATTTCCTATATAATATTCAGGTGATCCTGTACCATTTGTTAAAAAGATTTTTATTCATTAAATTAACTTGGTACCTTTGTGTATTTATATGTAGTCAATTACCTAGCATCAAGAATGAGAAAATAGGTGGAAGGCTTATCCACTGACAGAGATAAAGAAGATCTAGTAAATGAAGAGTTATAGATTAGAAGTCTTAATGCTTTTAAGAATCAATTCTTCTCACATGGATCTACAGAGTCTACACAATCTGCATCTGAATTATATCAAGCCATTTCATAGAAATTGACATGTTGTTGTTTACAATGTAAAAATTTAGACAACTAAGACAACTTTGAAAAAGAAGAGCACAGAAAACTTACACTGCCTTATATCAAGATTTATTTTAAAACTACAATGAAAGCCCGCTGAGGTTTTTGATTGGTATTATGTTGAATCTGTAGTCAATTTTAGGAGATATGATACCATCCAGTTTTTGAGTATGTTGTACATCTCCATTTATATATGTTTTGTAGGTTTCAGCACACAGGAAGAACACACACTAACTTAATTTATCTATAAAAATTTAAATTTTTTAGCCACCATAAATAGTATTCTTAAAATCTCAGTTTCTAATTGTTAGTATATTGAAATGCAATTGATTTTTATACATTGGGAATGTGCTTCATAGTTTTAATGACTTTTAAAAAACATATTCTCTTGGATTTACTACCCCCCCCCCCAAATTATATTATCTGCAAATAGAGTTTTGGGCCTTAAAAGAGGTAATTAAGTTAAAAATGAGGTCATTAGGATGGGCCCTAATCCAAAATGACTAGTATCCTTATAAGAAGAGGAGATTAGGACATAGACATGCACAGAACAAAGACCATGTGAAGGCATAGGGAGAAGATGCCACCACAAGCTAAGGAGAGAGGACTCAGAAGAAGGCAACCATGCCTACACCGGGATCTCAGATGTCTAGCCTTCAGACTGTGAGAAATATCTATTGCTTAAGCTGCTTGGTCTGTGGCATTCCAGTATGGCAGCCCAGGCAGACTATTTACAGTTTTCAGGAAATTTGTCCAACCCACTAATTAGCATAAAAGTGTTTCCTTATTATTCTGTCAATGTCTGTAGGCTTTATAGTAATATCTCATTTCTAATTTTGAAAATTTGTTTTCTTTCTAATACTTCTGACTAAAATTTTAAAAGTTTTTGGATTTTTTTTTTGTTTGTTTGTTTTCAAAAATCCTCTTTTGAGGGCTGGGGTTGTGGCTTAGTGGCAGAGTGCTTGCCTAGCACATGTGAGGCTGGGTTCAATTCTCAGCACTACATATAAATAAATAAATAAAATAAAGGTCCATTGACAATAAAAAAAATTCTCCTTTGGGTTTTATTGATTTTTCTCTATTTTTTTTTTTCATTTTCTATGCCACTGACTTCCGCTATTAGATTTTCCTGCTTATTTTAGGGTTCATTTGCCCTTACTTTGTGTCCCTTCTTATAAGAGTCATATCCCATCAATATCTGCCTTCTTTTGTTTGATCTTTAGTTCCTTTTGAGAAACCGGTCTTTTCATATTTTGTCCAGAATTTGTAAATGTTATTGGCAAGTAAATATAAGCTACTCTTATATTACTAAAAGCTGTTTCCTAAAACCACTGTTTCTGAAGGACAATATGGCCATATCTGTTACAAGTGAAAATTCCCCCATTTTTTGATTTCTCTTCTAGAGCTCTTCTTATATATGTGCACATAGAGGAGAATGCAAAGATTTTTCATCTCAGTATTTTTTATAGTAGTAAAATAATAGAAACCCTGAATGTTCTGCAGTGAGGGTTGGCAAACTTTTTCTGCAAATAGCCAAATAGTAATTTAGGATTTGTATACCATAGAATCTCTGTAGGAACAATTTCACTCTGCTGAGGTAAAGCAAGATTACCCATACAATACATAAAGGAATGTCATAGCTGTGTTTAATAATACTTTATTTGTGAACTCTAAATTTGAATTTCATATAATTTTCATGTGTCACAAGACATTCTCTCCCTCTCCCTCCCTCCTTCCCCCCCCCCGACACTTTCAACCAAATTCTTAGATTGCAGTTCATAGAAAAATAGGCATTGGGTCAGATTTGGCTTATGATTCACAGTTTGCCAACTCTCATATAGAAAGTTAACTATGCTTGAGTTATTTTCTCTTAAATTCTAATTTCAAAATATAGATGTATAAGAAGTTGCAAATATAGTACGGCAATCCATTTACCCTTCACCTAGTTTCCTCTAGCAATTACATTTTACATCACTACAGGACAATATAAAAGCCTGAT